AAGGTAAAATAACCCCGATGGTTCTAGTGCGCTTAATATAGGCACAGGTCGTATTCCGACTACAGAGATTATACTAGCAAGAAGACATGACTCTAATGCCCCTCTTGATAGACGGTACAATCGCTGAGTTGATTTCAGATGCTTTCGATAATCAAGACTATTTAAAAGTCTTTAATCGAAAATGGCGTAAACGCCTGCATAAGCCACAAGCTGAAAAAGATAGCATTTTTCCATCGTCTGAAGACACGGAGGTTAAACTTTACCCGCCTACAGCATTTATCCCGAGCTTAAATACTCACCCTTCATATGTGCTTAAGACACTGAGGCGTAAGAAATGTCCAGTCGACCACCACGGACCTACTGGACCTAAGCCCAAAACTCACAGGGTAACCGAGAACGCTTAACTTCTCCGCCTAAGAAACATTAACTACATAATATGCTACTTAATGTTTTCGACCCCTTTTTCCTTTCTCGCTTTTTGACCCATAATCAGCTTGAGTGAGTAACTTGCTTCTCCTGGGTCTCAAAGCTGGGGGGGGGGGGGGCTGTGTAATAGCCGGGCCTCCACATTAGACTCTATGGTATGAACGTACTCTTAAGCAGTACGTAACCTATAAACGTACTCTTAATAGTACAAGGAACTCAAGTTTCCTAAAAGGTTTTTACCGGTTTTATTAATTAATACTTTTTCCATTTTACATATCAGATATTTGGACAAGGCCATTAAAAGGCCCCAGTAAAATACCAAACATAATATTTGGTCTAGTTCTACTAATAGAACTATATTTACTTTCCAAATCTATATATGAATACTTTGGTAGCGAGATGGCTCAACCGAATATAGGTTTCTAGGGACTATTAGCGTTACCTAGTTTAGCCTCCGATCAGCCAACCAGATGTGCCAGTCTGATGAAGGCTAAGTCGGTAATTCTTGATAAGTGGCAAGTTATTGGTTAAGACAATAACTAAGGACATCACGCGTATTTTTTCGTTTTTTTCTTTTCTTTTCTTTTTTTCTAAAGATAGGATTTTATGAGTCCCTCGGATTCGTCCCAACGAAACATACCATAGTTTATAATAGAGCGACAACGAAACACTAAATAAACGGCGGAAACGGTACTGAGAGGATTATATATAGGCAATGTCTCAGCCTCACAATCCCTCAGAGTATTGCTGTTTTCACGAGGCATACCTAACTTTACTAAAAGTCTCATTTCGTTTATTTACTTTGATATTTTTCACGATACTTAGAATTTACCTACGCGTTTATTTACGCTAAGGCGTTAATATCGCCTTGATAGACAGAATCTTACAGTGAGAGCTCGCGTGACTCTTCGCGTTCGCGTTCGCGAGGCGCGATGATAATGGAGGGAGTGGACAAAGGGGTGACCGTCGCCTGTGGTGCTACATGTGCAAGGAGTCTGGGCACAACCCCGGTCAGTGTTCGGGGTTGAAGTCGAGTGGGGCGTTGGCAGCGGGTGCAGCAGCTAGGCGTGAAGATGGTCGTCATTGAAAGGGTGCGGTGGTCACAATGCTCTTAGCTACAGCAAGAGCATGGGCGTACGTAGATTCGGACTGCACGTATAACCTCATTACGAAGAGTGCGATACAGCGTATAGGTGTGGAACCGGACGGCCTGTACGAAGGACCGCCGTTGAGTGGGTTAGATGACATGGGGGAATTGAGCCCTTCCCACATGGTAGCGTGGCAGCAGTTGGAGTCGTACCTCCTGGTTGGTCAAGATAGTTTTGCGTTGGTAGAAGGTCAACCGTCTCACAGATTCTAATGAGCTGTGATGTCTTGGTGAGTTTCGACCAGCTGTGAGCGTCGGAGTGGGCGCTGATGTGGACGAATAACAGTCACTGATCAGGTGGCAATGGCTTAAGGATACCAATGTGCCTGTTCCTTCGAGGGTGAAAGCCATTCTGGAAATTAGCAAGAATGGTAGGCCAGTCTCGCCTCGCAGAAAGCGGCGTAAGGTAGGTTGGAGGTCGGCTGGTGCAGCCGTGGCCATGCGCCAATTGGCTGAGGAGTATGCGTGGCATGGTAAGGTAGCGGGAGAGGCTTGGGAACAGTCTAGTGAGGCCTCGGATGGGGAGGTGTATGAGCAGGATTTAAGCGAGGAAGTCCCCGCTGCTCGTGTACGAATGTGGTCCCTCGACCCAGAGGGGTTAGGGCAGGACAATGTGACGCATCGGGAACCGAAAGGTCCTGTGTCTAGTATGCGGACCCCTAACCCTGAAGGGCAGGGGGGGTGCTGACAAGAGGTCAGTGGTCAATGATGGTGAGCGAAAGCCGCCGAAGGCCCGTAGTAGTTTGCGAAGCAGCTGCCTAAGGTGTCTGAGGGGCAGCCAACCCCCAGCTCTGGTGTTTTGAACAGGACCCCTAACCCTGAAGGGAAGGGGGAGGGTGCTGACAAGAGGTCAGTGGTCCATGATGGTGAATGAAAGCCGCCGGGGGCCCGGAGTAGTTGGCGAAAGCAGCTGCCTAAGATGTCTGAGGGGCAGCCAGCCCCCAGCTCTGGTGTTTTAAAAAGGGGGCGTCGCCCGACGGCACGTCGGGGTGACTATTCCCTTGATGTTATCCCGCATAAGGTGGTGCCTGGGGTTGGGGAGGTACATGGCTTGTACTCCCCGAAGATTCCTGATTTAGCCAACATGATTGACTTGCCCACAGAGGCTCTTGATGACCTGGATAAGCCCGAGCTCGAGGAGTGTGATGAAAAGATGGATAAGACCGTGGAGTTTGACCGCTCTGGCCTCCGCCAGTTGGCGACGGAGTTGGGTAAGTCACCACGAGAACTGGCGCGCACGATTTAGGGAGGCCCACCGGTTCATGAAGGTGGATAAGATCCGCCTTCATCCAAAGCCCAATGTGGCGCCGGCGCGTTTGTGTTATAGAGATGGTTTGGATAAAGATCATCCGCAGCAGTTCGCGCAGAAGGAGAAGATCAATGAAATGGTGGCCCATGGCATCATTGAGAAGCAGACGGACCCAGATGTTCTGTGGCTGTCGAAGACGGTTATGGCGCGTATGGATCCGCGCATGGAGCCGAAGCCGAAGGAGGACTGGCGTTTTTGTACAAATTTTGCCAAGTTGAGGGCAAAGCTTGAGCAAGAACCGTTTAGCATTCCCTCGGAACAAGATATGTTCCGGCACATTGCGGTTACGCCGTGGGTTACGGTCTTGGACTGTGGGAACGGTTTCGCTCAGTTAGAGCTGGATGAGGGTAGCAGGGATATCTTCACGTTTATGACCCCGTGGGGCAGGTACAGATATACTTCCCTGCCGTTCGGTCTGTCAGAGGCGTCTTGGCGTTTCCAAGAGGTGTTGAGTCGCATTTTCGATGCGTTGGATGGGGTGATGTGGTATGTAGGGATAAAATTATTTATTTCAAAAATGGCAAGTATGTATGATACAATGTATGAACATATGGTATGGCTCTCATAGTCGCTGTAGTAGTTCAGGAAATATTGATGGAAAGAAGTGGTCAGTAATTTCCCGTTTGAAGCTTGGGCCAAGTGAGTCGACAATGGAAGATATGTGCTGAGTCAATTCAGGCCGGTGTTGACAAAACATTGTTACTATCGAATGTTCCATATATTCACTTGCTGACCTACTAAGTAGAGTACCCACCTCTGTGGTACGGATCGGGTCTGCGCCGCGGAATGGGTTAGTGCAGAGTACGAAATACTGTAGAAATACGGCCTCCGGTCAGTCTAAAATATCAAGATCAATTGAGATAATACATTGGTTTTTATTTGTATTTTAAATAATTTAATACAAGCTCTTTTTCCAATATTTCCAAAGTGTTCTAAATTCACTTTGATGGCTCTAATAGCCTGAGTATTTGGTATGACTCATCTACTTGG